GGTAGGGTATTCGACAAAGGATGTTTTCCGAGTCCCTAACCTAGGCAACCCTTCTCCTACGGGAGCGTGTGGGTCGCCGTGGGTGTGCGTCGCGCACGCGCGCGCGGATCCTCCCTCTCCCTCTCACGGGTTCCGGAGCGGTCGGTGGGTCTCTCTCGCGCTTCTTCTCCCTCGCTCCTTTGCTCTCGGAGCGCCGTGTGTACTCAGCCGATGCGGCGAGGACTTAACTGCCTCGTTGTCGTCCCAGCAGGCATTAGAGCTCCGCGACAGATGTGCAAAATTCAAGCTTAGGATCGCGGGGAAAACCGCGAGCGACTCCTTCCCCCCGCGGGTCGCGTCCTCGCGTCCCGATTTCCCCCCCGTCCGGCCCCCGGGGGCAATTACCGCAATTCGCGTAATTGCGGGCAACAGCCTCCTCCGAGGTATCGAGATCTCGGGAAGAAGGCCTCCTCTTTGAGCCCCTTCGTCGGTCCACCCTCGACCGGCCGATGCACCTCGTCGGCGCGGTGCACGTCGCGCTCCGTGGGGGGTCCGCGCGAGGAGGCTCTCCGCGGAGAGAATAGACTCTCTCCTGCCCCTGCTCTGGAGCTTGCAAAGTGCATAAAGAGAGTTTAAACATAGACCGGACTTTTCCGAGCGCCCGTCCGACCGCCCCCTCGCGCCCCCTCGCGTCGTCCGCGCTGCACACACGAGATGTGCATCTCGCGAGGGCGTCGGAGGAGAGGCCGGGGGCGGTGGGGGGCAAATCGATCGAATGAAAAAAAGTAACCCGAGGGGGAGGGGGGGAGCGAGCGAGAGAGAGAAGGAAAAAACGGTGCCCGGCCGATGCCGAAGTGCGCCGCGAGAGGACGCGCGAATCACGGCGGAGAAGGACGCCGGAGGAGAAGGGGGGGGGCGGCGGGGGGCCGGGACCATTGAAGAGTAAAACCGCTCAAAGCAGCTGCCCCCGGCCCTCCGTCGCCCCCTCCGCGATCCCGGAGCTCGCTCTTACTCCATAGCTTTGAAAACTACCCCTCTTTCCCTTAGATCGGACGGATGGCACACCCCCCTCCTGCCGCCCTCCGGCTCCTTCCGCTCCCCTCGTCCCCTTCGACAGCGCCCGGGGAAAGAGAGCCGAAACGACTCTCGAGGCGGCCAGGTGCCGGGGGCCGGGGCACCGAGGGGCACGAGGAGCTCATTGTAAGATCGGCGCGTGCGGCGAGCTGCTCCTCGGCCCCCGAGGGGGCCCCCCAACCCCCCCTTCTGGAACTCGGTCGAGGCTTTATGATGCCGGGGCTGGCGACGCCATTGTTCGGGCACATCTGCCGCGCGATCGCGCCGATTGTCCGAGGCTTAGAAACTCGCTCGTCGAGAGGGGGCACCGGAGAAGGGCACCGAGCTGGGGAAGAAAAAAGTGGCGGGGACCGGCGAGGGGGGCGGATCCCGGGGGAGACCAGCGCCCGAGTCGGGGCAAGAGGGAACGAAAGTCTCCCGAGGGGGACGTCAAGGTTGCGGGGCCCGGGAAGGAAAAGAAATCGGACCTTGGGACGCAGGTGCATCTCCGGGGGACTCGGGCCCCTCCCGAAGGGGTGAACCCCCCAGGGGTCCGGTGGCTTCTTCGCGTTTTCCCGGCGAATCGTGAGCCTGGGGGACGGGGGTCGGAGGGGGCGAAACGCATAAAGGACATCCAGACCCTCCTCGCGAGGAAGTGTCGCGGCCGTGTCATAATTGCCGGCGACGTAAACAGAACGACGTAATCACTTGTTAACCTGTACCTTAATTACATGATTTTCCAGGGCGCGGGCAAGTCTGAGTGTAGATGGCGTTAAAGTGTTAATTACTAATTAAGAAGGGTGCACGGGGCGCGGCATCAAGACCCCGCGCGACACCTTTTTGAACGCGCCCTCTGAATGGACGCTTACGCCCTGCCGGGCAAACGCGCCCACCCATCCGCCCGCGCACACGCGCGCTTCGCCTCCTCGTTATACGCACTTTCACACCTCGCGCGAGACACCGCTCCCGAACCTCCCTCCCTCTCTCTCTATCTCTCCTCCGAGCTCGTTCTTCCGAGCCGCCTTGCCCCCGGCCCCGACCCCCGCGGCTTTATCTCCGCGGATCGCGGACCGCGAGGAGCCTTCTTTCAGGAATTGCCAGACTCGGCGCCACCCTCGACGGTCGCGATTACGCAATTTACGGGTTTTCAAACGGATCTCGCGCGGCACCGGCTCGGAGTAAACCGAGGGGCTGACTTTCAGGGCCGACGTCTCTCCCGGGGGAGACGCGTCGCCATTGTCGCAGGTCAGGTAACTTGGCGCGGCCGTTGACGGGAGGGGCCGAGGGCAAAGGTGAACCTACCCCCGGGAAGGGTGAACCCGATCCGGGGAGAAAATCGCGACCTTAAGGTCCTTAAGAAAGGGTCCCGCCGTCGGGTCGAGAAGTCCCGGGATCCTCGACGTCGAGCGTCGCAACGACGCTCCGCGACCGTTGAGACGGTCTCCGATACAAGAAAGGGGAGAACGGTTCCTTCCGCCCCCCAGGGAGGCCGCAAGGTGCAAGTCGAGTCCCTTTCAGAAGAGTCCCTAGAAACGACGTTTCGGGGAGGAAAAGGTCGAGCCCTTAAAAAATCGAAAACCGCGACCGGGACTCGATTCGCTCCTCCTCCCCCCGGCCCTCGACCAGGGTGTCGCCAAGAGATCGCCCTCTCCCTTTTAATTAATGTCTTCCCCCTTCTCGGACCGCGAAAAGGCCCTCTCGACGCCCCCCGCCGAAATCCGCCCACCCGCGGGGGCGATCTCGGCGGTGCGACCGCTTCGCCCGCCCGGGCGGTCGCGCATCTCCGGAGCTCCGTTTCCGGTCTCCTCCAGAAGAATCCCCATCCCGAGGCATTGTCTCCGCGCGCAGGAGGGTCCTTCGTTATTTTTTCATCCCCGCCTCTCTGGGGCCCCCGCCCCACTCGGGCCGCATTTTCGCGGCAAAGCGCCCCGTAATTAGATGCTAATAATCATCACCCTCGGCGGGAAGTCGGCGCTCCGCGTCGACGTCGACGGCGGCGGCGGCGGCGCCCCGTGGCAGCGGGGCGCAAGAAGACCCGGCCCTGAAGAGCTTATTATTATCCTAATTATACAATACTGTAACGAACGACCGGTGGCGCGCCCTCTCCCCCTCTCTCTCTCTCTCACCGCTCCTCGGCGGCCGATATCTCGCTCCCTCTCGCTCCTCGCACTTCGCGGCCGAAGAGTGGCAATTCTAGCACTCGGGCTTTTTGTCACCGACGGAACTAGCCCCGTCTCCCTCTGGCGCTCTTACCCGCCATTATGCGGCACATCTCGTCCCGTCTCTGTCTCCGGGTGTCTGTTTTAATTAGGCACTTCGCGGCCCGCGCTATACGCCGGCATATTCCGCCTATACTCGGCGATCCACCGGGGCTGAATGCGGTTGATGGGTGGTTGAGTAAGGATTATAGGCGCAGGTGACACACCACCGGGGCTCGAGAGAAAACGAGAGAGAGAGAGAGAGAAGGGGGAAAAGGAGGCCCGAGGGGGTCGCGAGCGAGAAAGACGATCGGCGACGCCGCGGCGGCCGAGCATCTCTCTCTCTCTCTCTCTCTCCTCTTCCTTCCTCCGGCGCACTCGATCCCTCCTCCGCTCCTCTCGAACCGATGCGCGCATGCAACCGCGCCTTCTGCCCCGACTGCACGCGCCCGATAAGAGCTCCCGCGAAATTGTCTTAATTGGCGCGAGTGTGGAGGCTTTCGATCGCGTCGAAAGAACCACCGAGGCGGCCTCCGCGGATCGGCCAGGAGGCCGCGGCGCCCGTCGTCTACCCCGCCCGTTTCCTCCCGGTGCCCTCGCGCCAAGTCAGCCGCGCATCCGCGCCGCTCGACTTATTCGTCCGCGGGACGGAAAATGCGACGGCGTCCTCCACCCGCGGCGCGCCCTCCCTCCGGAGACGGTATTGTCGAAAGGCCAGCCAGGAAGCGCCGGGAAACGCGGGATATCTCGTTCGATGGGAATTTATCGGCGTGTAAACCGAGGGGAGAGAGACGGCGGCCCCCGATCGGCGCTCCGGAGAGAGACGCCCGCCGTCTGGGTCTTGGGGCGCGCCGCAACCCTTCCCGATCTTTGTTGGCGGCGACGCAGAAGGACGCCGCGACGTCCCGCGCGAATTCCTTCGCGCTGCGGAAACGACGCTTTATTTATTACCCGCGGTTTCCCGCGGAATCGTTCCTCCACCCGAGGAGCCGGGGGGAGAGCCGCCTCTCGGGGGGATCGGTCGACGACGCCCGCCGCCGCCATCGCGACGTCGACCTCGGCGTCGACCTCCGCGCCACCCTCCGCCCCCCAGCCCCGGGCTGGGTCACTATTACTATACTAATTACCCGCCAATTAGCGACTTATGTTTGTTTAACCGCGTTAATTAATGAACGCCAACGTAAACTTGGCGGCAGCGGCCGCCGCGGCGGCGGCGGCCTCGATTTTTGTGTGAAGTCTTGGGCGATACGCGAGTCCGCGCCTCGTTACCCCGGCGTCGCACCCTCTCTTCGTCTCCCTCCCCTTTCCACCCCCTCTGCCGAGCGAGAGCCTCTCGCGCGACTACCCTCGTGTCCGACCGGGGCAGGGCGTTCCTTTCAAACGACGTCGCACCTTTTCCCGGTTTACGGCCGAGCTACCCCCCGCGAGGCAATTTTTCCGACCGCCCCCGACCCCTCCCCACCCCCCCCGGGACGATCCTTAATTAATTGGAGGACCTTAACGCGCCGCGGAGAGCGCGACGGCGATCGGGGTCAAGCCGCGCCGCGACTTCCCCAAGAGGGTCCCCCCCCCCCTCTGAGGGGGGTCTCTTTTACCTCCGACGAGTTTTTATGCGACCTAAAGAATTCCCGGCGAAAGCGTTTCAAAGCGCGCGGAACGCGCGTCGGTCGGACGCGCATTTGGCGCGAGACTCTGCCGGGTTTCTTTGCGTCAATGATGCACCCCCTAGGGCTGACTGACGCGGGCTCACCTTTTCTTTACCTTTTTCAGGGAGTTCTACTACATCCAGATGGAGAAGTACGCCAGGCAGGCCGTCTCGGAAGGCGTCAAGAACCCTGAGGACCTCCGGGTCGGCGACGACTCCGAGATCTACCGCGTACTCAACCTTCATTACAACCGTAACAACCACCTTGAGGTATGGAGTCCCCAGGTGCGCAACTACACGAACACCGCACGCGCTTTCGCTTTTTCGTTTGCTTTGGCGAGTCGCGAGTGTTACGTTGCCGCCTTCTTATCACGGAGGAAAAGAGATTTGCAGTCTTAACGGCACTGCCGATACAGTTTTGCTCTTAGCAGGAATGCACCGATAACAATAATCATTGCAATTATTCCGAGTCGTAGACTTGCTTGCCCCTGAGAAGTAATCGGTTTTTTCTTGCCGATACAATTGAAATGTCTTGTTAAGACTGTGAACTCTTTTTCCTCCGGGCACTTTCGTTAATTCGGGACAGCCGAGGAGGTGGCCGATGCGAGCCGAATCGATCAAACACCTGGAATGATCGGTTGCCGGTGTTTTTTATTCCCAAGTGCGCCAACGAGAGGATCGCATCGACTTAATCCTCGGTTAAAATCCGTGGTTAAGGACACCCCCGCGTTAAGTTCACCGGGAAGACGTCGTAACGGCGACTTCTTCCCTGGTCGTTTAATTCGCTAACGCTACCGTCCATGTGAAATTCCGCTCCCCGGAAGTGACGGATGTCGCTAACGTAGCCTTGCCCTGCTCAGGTACCGGGCAACTTCAGGTACGTGGTGGAGCAGACGCTGAAGGAGTTCTTCAAGGCGATCCAGGGAGGCAAGGACTCGGAGCAGTCCTGGAAAAAGGCGATCTACAAGGTGATCTCGAGGCTGGACGACCCGGTGCCGGAGTACTTCAAGAGTCCGAACTTCCTGGAGCAGCTCGAGTGAGCGTGACCACGTCGTCCTTCGTGGTCCAGCTGATAGGCCGCCGTCCAGGACGCGTCGGCCGTGGACCACGGGGGCGCGAAAGAACCTCCGCCGCAGGGTGAGTCCTTTCCGCTGCGCTCGCGGCCAGCTCGCGAGGAGACCAAGAGGAGGAGAGGGTGACCGACCAGCGGGAAGTCGAGGAAACGCACCAGGTATCCCTAGTAACATATCGTACCGGTAAAACCAGACCAAAAGAGAGAAGAAGAGAGCGACCTTAGAGGAACCGCCGGGCATCCCAGCGGAAGGACCGTCTACCGGGAGCCGGGAGGATGAGCTTCCGGCGAGGTCCTCAACGAACCCGGCCCCCAGGGCGCGAGTAGGAGGAAAGCGACCTGGCCAGGAAGCTGGCCGGGATCCGCTACCGCTTTCAGCCCGGACGTCGGGAGACGGACCGCCGACCGAGGGACCGCGTCGGTTCGCCGAGACAGTCGGAGAGAAAGAGAGAAAGAGAGAGAAGCACGGGAAGAGACAGAGCCGGAACGGGAGAAGGAACGCGACGGAACGGAACCCGGGACGAGACGAGCAGAAGGTGAGACGGTAGTCGGAGAGCGACCGTGGAACCGGCCCCCAAAGCACCGCGCAACGCTCCCAGTTCTCCGTTCGTTATACGCCCAGCGATTCGTTACCGTCTTAAGATAATTAAGTTACAGAGGGTAGGTTTGCTTCAACGTAAGTTCCGAGAGGAGGACCGAGAGGGCGGCCGGCGACCCTCCGTCCACCAGGAGTCGCGCCCAGGAGTCGGTCCTCGGAGCGTCCGGAAGTCGCGGTCCGCCAAAACCGGAAGCGACTTCCGGACCGCCGACCTCGATCGACGCGGAACGGATCGCGACGCCTTCCGTTCCGCACCGCCCGACCGAGGGGCCTCCAGGGGCACCGCCGCCGTCTCGGTCCCGCTCCTCGACCGGGCGAGCCGAAGTCGGACTTCCCGGCCACCCGGTTCCCGCGGTTCCCAGCGGGTACGTGCGAAAGAGGAAATCGAGAAGGCAGAGGCAGAGCGACCTAGAGAGAGAGTGAGAGAGAGTGAGAGAGAGTGAGAGAGAGCGAGAAAGCGAGAGAGAAAGAGAGAAAGAATCCTAGTCGGTTGCGATCCTCTTTGGGCCGACAGGCCCGGAGGACCCTAGGCACTTTGAACCGCTCTCGGAGGAGTCTCGGTTCCCCGGGACTCCCGGGTGAGAGCGAGACGGAACGCTTGGCATCGCGTGAACGAGACAGAGAGATACCGAGTGCATGGGTCGAGTGCGAGGCGAGAGGAGTTCTTTCGCAGTCTCGCAGTTTCGCTTCCGCGCGGACCACGACTCGAGGAACGCGAGTTCGACACCAAAGTAGGAACCGAATTCAGCCCGGATATTTTTAATATATGCATACGTGGACACACACATATAGGTATATATTATATACATACATATATATATACACATTCGAGTATCTATTTTGTTTTTCTTCTTCGCCAAAGGAAGCAGCGCACGCTATTAAGCCAAATACGAAAGGGGGTTATAGTGGAGACGCGAAATCGGGAGGGGGCGACGGAGTCACCCTCCCGGGTGATAAGGACGCGTATCGAAGGCACGACCGGGAGTGTCACCGCAGTGTTAGGGAGGACTCGGAAGGAGACACCTTCCTATAAGCCGCGTCGGAGGGAGAGGGAAAGAGGGAGGATCCTTCCTCCGAAGACGCGGCGCGGAAAGGAGGAGCGAGAACGCGAAGGCCGCGAACCGAAGCGCGCCGTTGCGCTAAAGAGGGAGAAGGTGGAGGACGAGATAACGAGAGGGAGAGAGATAGAGAGAAAGAGAAAGAGTGGGCCGAGGAACGCATTACGCATGTACGATTATATACATAGCTGGTAAATAATTAAGGGGTTAGGCTAGTCGCAGAGACGAGAGTACATAAAGAAAAAAAAATAGAGGGAGGGAAAGAGAGGGAGAGAGAGAGATGACGAGGTACTGGCGGCGTCCTATGTGAAGATAAGCAGATAAGGGGGGTATTGAGAAAACAAATAATGTTGTGGTAACTAGGCGCGGGTACGTATTATATAGAGTAGATTATATATAAATATATATATATTATACATTAAAAAGAAGAGGATAAAAGACGACGACGATGCGCGATAATATAAGAGTGGCGAAATATTTGAGACAAAAAGTAAACGAGAGCGAGAGAGAGAGAGAGAGAAAGAGCGAAAGGGGGAGAGTCAGATGGAGAAAGATTGAGCCAGAGTGCGAAAGAGAGAGAGAGAAAGTGAGAGAGCGAAAGCGAGACGGACAAACGTACGCCCGTGAAAAACACACTTTCCACCCCCTCCCCGCCCCCGCACACTCTCATTCATCCACACGAAATCCGACACACACCCACACACGGAAGGAGGAAAAGACCACACACGGACACGCGCGTTTCGACACCGGAAGTGAAATGACGTCGGCGACGTGTTCTCCAAGTCCGCGACGAACGCCCTGTAGATAGAGCACATCGGACGACTAAGATATTCCTATACATATATTATATATATATATATATACATAAGTACACGCGCATATATATAAATTCGTATATATGTATGTATACATACTATTCGGGTGGTAGTAAATCCTAGGAGGTTTATTCCCCGTTTGTTTGCTCGGCGCAATTCTTCGCCACTCGTTGTCGCTCATCGCGTAATACGATCCAAACGACTAACAATTGTCGCGCCTACTTTTAATCATCGCCGCCGTAAACGCGGCGGAAACGCAACCGCGCGGCGCCCCGAGAACACCTCGGGATTAGTTAATATTATTTAATCCATGGCAATCACTTAGCTCCAGGCGTATCTTACCCCCCAGCCCCGCACGATTCGATCCCGCCCCCTCCCACGCACTTTTCTTGCGTCCCGCGAACTCGCTGTATTTTAGTTGTATTATTATATAATTACCGCTATTAGTATGATTATTATGATTATTATGATTATTATCATTATTATCATTCCGATTACGATCATTAGGACGATCGTCGTCATTATTACGAGTATCGGAAACACGTACACACGCACGTACACACGTTTACACACACGCAGAGACACACACACGCGCGTACACTCACACCAAACTTTTTGCAAGCGGTGAGTCTTAACCTAGTCACGAGTCACGTATTTTTTAATTGAATTATCGATCGACCTTATTGATTATGATTTTATTTATTATTCACGCCAATAAAGGATGGAGACAGTGAGAGCTTCCGTTTGATCGCTCGTCCCCGTTTCTTTCTGCGTTACCCAGAGCTTTTTGCACGGATTTTCGTTTGCTGTTTCCTAGTCCTTCCCAATTTTCCCGATTTCCCGCGAGAAGGGGGGATGGTTGCGGAAACTTCGCGGGAGAGGATTTGCGACTTTCGGCGAGTGCTCGCACGAGGGACCGGCGAGGGTTCCTCGGGGAAGGTTTACCAGGAGGCAGGCCCGAGAACGCTCGTCGTCACCTGGGAGCACTGGCTGGCAAGTGGCGAGAAAGGGTGAATATCGATACTCGATTCGGCCGCTGCTTTTGGAAATTCGCTCGAGGAGACCCCCCGCGAATCGCTGAGAGTTCGGGCGCTGGGAGGGTGACGGGTTGAGATGCACAAAAAAGAAAAATAGATAAGACGTGTGTTCCGAGTTCTGAGCCAGAGACGCATTTCAGTACCTGGTGCGAGAAGTGCAATCATTCCTATTAGAAGTTATTTCGTCGTCGACTGGAAGCGTTCCGCGTGGCCTCGGAGGCGAAGGGCAAATCGAGGGAGGGTCTCGTTAATCGGTGGAGGGGAAATTAAAAGGGTTTTCGGAGCGACTACTTGGCCTAAGGATGCGCGAGGCTCGAAACTTGCTCCCCGTGGTTGGCCTAAGGTGTAGCTTTGGTCCAGGCGCCTCCACTCCGAGATCGAGATGGCGACTTCCGGCCCCCTGGGCTCGCAGGGGCCAGGGGACCAGAAGTTCCGGATGGGAAAATACGCGCAGGGGCCTCCTCGGCAACGCCGGCACCTCTTAACCGGAGGTTAGGATACGACCTCCTGGGGATCGCATGATTAATCCGCAACGTCCCTCGAAACGCGAATCCCAATATCCTTCCGGTAAGTCCGCGTCGATCCAGGCGTCGCGAGACGTGAAATTTTGAGAGGTCGGATCGACCGAGAGAGACGGGAAAGGCGCGACTGGATTGCCGGGTCTTTCCGAAAGAGACGGCGGCCATTTTGGGAGAGATCGGCGACCCCCCCTTGGGGAAGATACGGCCTGCACGAGTTGTTTTAAACGACCTCCAAGTTTTCCCTTTATCTCCTAGCAAGTAGTCTGGACTCTATCGACAGGAGACAAAAGAGCGGTTCTTAGGACTCGCGAGCGTCCATCGAGATGAGTACTTCCGGTCCCGGGGACTCCTGGGAGGGAGAGAGAGGGTCTTGGAGAACCGTCGGCGGAGGAGCGAGGAGGATGGATCGGCGCCAACGGAGAAACACGGCCGAAGGAAACCCTTTGTTCGCCGCGGCCGATGGACGCCGCCGAAAGAACCGTCCGCAGGCGGAATTGCGGCCATCGCCGGATGGACCGCCGCCGGATGCTGCGCCAAGCCGACTGGATCGGGAACTCGGAAGGAAGTCGCGATTGCGAGGCACCTCGCCAACTGCACCTCTACCTTCGCACCCCTCGCAAGGGTTGCCACTGTCCTCGCTACCTTAAGGGATGAAAAAGTGCGAGGCGACCCCGAAGCCCACCGAAATTGTCGAAATTTAGGAATCACCGGTGAGAATCCTCGAGGAACTTTTTCGAAAGTGGGGAAAAATGAAAAAGCCTAATTCGTCGGCGAGAATCGAAGATAAACGGGGGAGGTAATGGAAAAATCGAGGCGAAATTTCTTACGCGTATTTACTTATTCGCATAGCTTAAACTTAAAGGGAAGTAAAAAAATATTACTCTAAAGTAAGTTTAAACGGGCGCGGGGAATGATTCGAGCACCGCTGCGCCACTCGGCGGACGAGTGCGGTACCTAGTTTAACCGCTAGATTAATTATCGAGTAATGTTAGTCTTATGATTATTGCCATTATCGCCGTGTGGTTTGATCGGTGAGCGACGCCCCGGTGTAAATTCGATTTCGGGGGTAATTCAAGGGTGGGGAGAAAATTAGGGGATTCTCGCGATTATTAGAGAGGTCAGGAGCATCGCGATCGTACGCGAAAGAGAGAGACGGGGCTAGGGAGGTGCGTATGCGTGCAAGGACGAGGACTCCGGACGATTTCGATGGGAAATGCGACGCAAGGACGGCAGGGAATCTCTCCAGATTATCCTTCCATGAAAGGATCGACGATGGCCCCGAAATCGGCTTCCTCGAAATAAATTCCACGTGACGTCTAACGATGTCCTAACAATTAGGAAACAAATGTCTGGCAGTCGCAAACAGTTTCGGCGGACAAGAAGAAGGGCGTAAAAAAGGAATCCGAAGACGGGTGGCCAACTACTGGCACCCCAGACTAATTTCTAAAAGAAGTTCTCCGTACTAGGAGGTCATCCATCGGTCCTTACGCCATTATTAATTACCGGAATAATTAACAAACCAGCCCGAGTGGGACTCGGCGCGATCGATCGGCAGTTTCGTTGTTTCGTGATTTCTCAAATCCGAGCCCAATGACGACATTCAACCAGCACTCGCAAATTTCGACCGAGAAATCCAGAGAAATTACCGCAGGATACCCGGAGGACAGTCGACTACTCCTGTCCTCGAGCCGTTTGCCTCGAAATTCCCAAAACTTCCGACGACGAGGAGAGTCTGTCGATACTCCAGCTCTCTCGTGGGAGCCACTTCGCAACCTTCTTCAGGAGTACAGCTCGCACCGACGTTGATTGTCGTCACTCGGCAGGATTTTGGACATTTTCGCAGCAGCCCCGACACGCGATCGCGCACTGAGACAACGACAAAAAATTTGGTTGACTCAAGGAGATATGCATCCAACGAAATCCCGCGATCGAATGGATCCCAAGAAATGTCAGGGAGAATAAAGAAAATTTATTTAAATGGGTACACGATTTTTCATCTAAACGAAATAATTGTTTCTTGCAATTATATACCATTCAGGCAACGATAAACCCTCCTCCCTCAATTTTCGCGGCTTTTTTTTTTCTACCAATTCTACCATTCGCGTAAAACGTATCCACGCGGTAACGGTATGCTCCGTGTATATGTACGAATATATATATATATTTCTTCAGTCAACTAATCTCTTATCTCAGGGCGGAACGATCGACTTCGCGGAGAATTCCTGACCTATCCACCGCGATTCCCTGAACGCTTTTGAAAAGAAACCGACCGGAAGGATCGGTGAGAAAAAAAAAATAAGCGGAAGAGCGCACGCGTCCCATGGACCGAGAGAGACCTCGGACCCCAAAGAAGTGCCGGAAAGAGAGAGGAAGAGAGAGAAAGAGGGCGATCGACGACGTGGATGCTGCGGAAGCGTAGGAGCCAAGTGTCCTTGATGCGACCGGCGTTCGAGCCAAAAATCTCGCGATCTCGCCAGAAGTCATTCAAGATCTAGGGAATGGAAAAAAAAAAAGTAGAGAAAGAGAGAGAGAGAGGGAAGACCTCGAAACACCGAAGATTTCGGACTGAGTTCGGAGCCACGGGCTGAGAAACGTACGGCGCAAACCCATCCTAGAAGAGAGAAAGAGAGGGAGAGAATGGAAGAAGGGCGAGGAAGATGGAGGAGTGCTGCGTAGATTCGCAAGGAGAGAGAAAGAAAGAGATAGAAGTCACGAGTGCAAGGGAGAGAGAGAAAGATAGAGAGAGCGAGCGAGTGCGTGTGTGCGAGTGCGGGCGATAGGGAGAAAAAAAAAAAGAAGAAGAGAGAGGCGAAGAAATTATACAGAGAGAGCCGACCTCCTTGCCTACCGGGAGGTCCGCATATATTATTAAAAGAAAAAGTTCGAAAAACGCGAAATGAGACGACTAGTCAAATTAAAATTAAGGAGATTCGCGGAGAGATATTATAGGACCTTTTAGGCGTGTAAGGGAGAGGAAATTACGTTAAGTCCATTTCTACCCACGGCACTTCGGCAACACTTTCGGGAGGATGAGCACGTTTAGGATGCGAGAGAGACTGCGTGAGAGATAGAGAACGAGTGTGGGGGAGAGAGAGAGAGAGAGTCAGCGCGTGTTTGAGAAAATGGAGAACGAGAGCGACGTCTAGAGAGGTCCGTCGATCCGGCTCAGGGAAGAAGCACCGGAATTAATAATCGATAATCACCCAATGCATTCCGCGAGAAGTATGCTTCCCTTACGAGGGAAGGTTCGAAATTTCTCAGGCTCAGCAAACGGCCCTTCGAGTCTTCCGTCTAGGTGAATTCGCGATAACGGGTCGCCGATAACGTCCTCGAGGGACCTCGAAGAGGAGCGAGACGGAGGTGAAATGACAACGGAAAGTCGATGATAACGATAGGGAGAGAAATGCGTTCCAACGGACACCACCCACAGTGACACCCACCCAGAAACACACACGCGCATACACCCAGTAGGTTATTGTACTTAGCTAGTGGAGTAGGAGTAAAAAGTAAGGATAACTAGGTAAGGGAAAGGTTAAACGGCGCCGGATGCGCAGCGTCGACGTAGGGACGCGTTCCTTGGCGAGCGATTCGCGAAACTGCCGGCGAGCAAAAGTCGACGCGTCCCGATTCCCGTCGACGAGTCCCGAGGGCGTCCCGGGGACGTCCCTCGGGAACGACAATAGTTCGCCGGATCGCCACGCGTTCGGTCCCAGGACCCGAGAGATCGCGCAGACCTCCGAATTCGAGGAGAGCATCGTCGAGAACATCGTCGAAGCCACCGATCGACTCGGGTCGGTCGGCTGGAGACGTCTTCCAGGATTGTGGGAATTGTTTTTCTGCGCCCGGTCGGCCACCTTGGACGACATCGGGCACACCGTTGTCGGAGCGACACTTTTCTAGCGGAGGCGCATCGTCTCCGCGCAATCACCTTGGCCCCCTGTCGCGCCATTATCAGTTTCCACGCATTTTTCGCGACCCCATCGCTTATGCCAAAATTCACCGTACACGCGCACCAGGTGCGCACGTAATGCCGAATTACTTTGCAATAGATCCGAACCGCTGAAGTCGGCCATGGACGGGTCGGCGAATTAAGGAACTCGGTAGAGTTTCGCGCCAACTATACGCACGGGCGCGAAACACGGACCTTTAGCCCGACTCAAATTGGACTGAAATTTC